CGGAAAGTCTGTATTTACTTCTCTGCAAGAACTTCCCAGTTCTAAAACTCTAAACTGTGTACACACACACACACACACACACACACACACACACACACACATCAGTGGTGGTTTATTCTAACCATTTTCATTTTAATCCTTTTTCACTCCACACACACACACACACACACACACACAAAATCAGTGGTGGTTTATTTTCATTTTAATCCTTTTTCACTCTTTTTTCTTCTTCAGGCGTGTGAGCTTGTGCTTCAAAAATCAGTTTTCAGGAAAAGGCCAGAACAATGCAGCCTTTTAAAAAATCTGCAGACTTCGGAGAATATGCCCCCTTTTTATTGAATACACCGGATTTCTCTTCCTTGCGGAGGGGAAGGTTTTGTTCTGTTGGACAGTCTGTGAATACTGTTCTGAAACTTTATTCAAGTGGGAACTGAAGAGGGAAATGTTAAGTTCTGAGAGGAGACAATGCGTTAGCATCTTTGAACAGAGTCCCTTGCATGCAAATAAGGCTCTGGGCAATTTTGGTCAACTTTAATTGGAAGGTGAAGTTAAGGAGATGTAAGCAAATGAATCCACAGGAGTCGCTCCCCGATGGATTCGTGCTGCGGGTCTGTTGTCTGTCTCCCCCCCGCCCCAGTTAACCACGCCAGTGTGCAGGGTTGGAGCAAGACAGAGCTTGTCTACACCCCCTGTAGCATGCTTCCCCGATTCAATCCGGATCAGGGATAAAGGGCGGCCGGGCTGGATCGTTGGAGACGTACCCAGCCAAGTGTAAACGCGCAACCCCGCAGTCTGTAGGGAATCGAATGACACACGCAGTTTCGTGTGCCGGCGCTGCACCGGCCTTATCTTTCCTGGGTGAGACCGGCCGCTCCTGCCTTCCTCATCCCAGCGCCGGGGAAAGGCAGGGCAAGAACCGCAGCATCTCCGGCACCTTTTCATATTCATTGTCCGTTCATTATTTAAGTAGGAATCCCCCGCCTCCAGGGCTGGAATCACCCCGCCAGCTGGCTTTCCTAGGGGGTCCTGCAGGTTGGGAGGGGTATTTGCTAGGGCTAGGAGGGGACGTGGTTTACTTGCTAATTCGCTCCGGCTCTGCTTGCTTTCGCCCGCCCCGCCGGCACTGTGTCGCTGAAACGAACTTCCCTCGGTTCCTGGCTCCCCACCCCGCCCCTGTCCCTCGCAGGGTCTCCCGGAATAAGGCCCTGCAGGCTCATGTCAACCCGGTCCGGGAGCCCGCTCAGGAAGGCGAGCTGCTCTTCGCTTAGCGCAGGCAATAGCGACCTACTCCGGATTGATTCTCGCGCGCGCTGGGCGCGTGATCAGAGTGATTTCTGTGGGTCTTATTGGGGGGGGGAGATTAGATTTTTTTCAGAGCCTAGAGCAAATTTGCAACTTGAAAGTGAGTTTAAATGTGGGCCAGGTTTCCTGGAAGGGAACGGGGGCGTTAATCACAGATACAGCTTTTGCATTATCCCTTCCACTCTCCGTAATGACCGAGCCAGCCCTGGGGTTGTCTGTACCTGCAAATGACTAGAAGGGGAGGGGTGTCCCCAGAAACCTGGTCTGTCTCCTCCCCGGAAAAACCCCCCCCCCCCCCGCGCAGCCCGGGGGGGGGCTGTGTGCCTGCATAGCCTTCCACTTAATGGGCACTTTATTTTATTTAACTTTCTTGTGTTTCTTTTCTAGCCTCCAGACAAGCTGTTCCAGTCAGCTGCCTCTCCCTGCTTCCTCCCCAAAGTTCTTAAAAAATCTATCCGCTTCAAGTTTTTTTTGTATCATTTTCGCCTACTGATTCCCCCCCTCCGGTAATGCCCCCCCCCCGGGGGGGGGGGGTGTCAGCCTGAGCCCAGCCAGCCCTGGATGACTTTTCATAGCTCGTGGCTGTGTGCAGCCCCTTATTGGAATTAGTGGTCAGACTCCTCATTTCCCACAGCTATAAAAGGTCCTGAACTCAATTAATGGCTAATAATTATACAGCCCACTCGGCTGCAGCCGTCATTAGCATGGGAGTCGAAAGCCGGGGGGGGGGGGGGTCGGCATGTAAACGAAGGTGACATACTAAATACTCAGCAATGTTCACGGCGGTCGCCCCGTGTAAATAGAGGGCGAAATAAGGTTGCCCTGTTCTGTCTCCGTCAATTGGCCCCGCTGTATTGATAACCCAGAAGAAAGGAACCTGACACCGTTTACACGCGGTCCATGGGGGCTGACTCCTCGTGTCCTCCTCGCTCCCGGACTTTGAAGCCACCGTTGTTTGATTAGGAATCGCTGCTCATCAGAATTAATTAGGAGCAATATTCCCACCTCCACCTTCAGCCCCATCCCCACCCCCTTGGTGCTGTCTCAGGAGAATTCGCTCCCTGCTCTGCGCAGACAAACAAGGCTTGAAACTAAAAGCCATGCCGGCGTTTTCCCTCTTCCCCACGTGTCTTCAGAGAAACCGGCTGGGTGCAGCCTGGAGGTGCGTTTAGAAAAAAACTAGGAGGAGGAGGGAGGTGACTTTTCAGGAGGAAAGATCTGCACGAACCTCCCTTTAATAATTGTTGTGGGATTTTACTTTTTTTTTTTTTTGCAGGATAGTAAATTAAATCTGCTCGCAGTAGCGTTTAAACCTCCTCTTCTCCCCCCTAACTTAATTAAACTCCCCCTCTTGGGTTGCAAACCCCTCCGGTGCCCGCTTTGCTGACTATTAAAAATGGATCTACATTTTTTTTTTAATTTCGGACAAATGGAAAGAGAGAAGGTGTCGCTCTCCCTTTACAGAATTAATTTTTGAACGGATGGAGATTTTCTGAGTCCCTGCCTGTCCTGTCCATGCACTGAACATGCACCTTTGAAATAGGTGGAGAGTTTTCGCTACTGTTAAGCAAACAGGGACATTAAATAGAACGGTTTGCTATGGTAGAGAGGATGTATGTCAGTAGGGAAACATATTTTTTTCCTCAAAATGGGTTTTGTTTTCTAAATTATTATCATACACAGGCCCTTCAGAAAAGAACTCAGAACTGCTAGCAGATGTAGGTAACAACCTCTCCTAGCAGAGAAGAATTTTCTTTTTCCATTATAAAACGGTGTAATGGTGTATAACCTCTCACTTGCTTTTTGATGTAATTTAGCAAGCCCTTCCCCCGCCCCTCTCGCCACACAACGTTTTAATCAAATTTCACAAAGCATTTAGCAACTTGGTTTTCATACAAAAAGGATGGGGATTAATTAGCTGGTGCAGGCATCATGCAAAAACCAATTTGATTTCCAGGATGGCATTTTAAGACACTTGAGCCTACTACTCTCCAAAATGGTTTTAACCCTCTGATATGGAGGCTTGAATGATTCTTTGGATCCTTTTCGCAGCCCGTTGTTTTGAGGTTCCTACTAGTATTCTACTGTGGACCAGCTAACGGTAGATTTGCACAATGGACTCGCAACGAATTTCAATGAATTCTTAACTTAATCGTGCTTCTTTCAAAGAAACACTTAAATACAGATTGTTATGGCACATTTTCAGAGCCCCCAGGGAACCCGTATTTTTTTCCTGGAAATTAATAAACTGTACTGAAATTAGTGTGGGAATCAAACTATATTTGATCGTTTAAAAAACGAGCAAGAAAATACTGTGCTCTAGGAAAACACGTGCAGTAGGAGAAATATATTTCGATTTCATTAGCCCGATGAAATCGGTATTTTCCCTCCGATTTCATTTCTAATTTTCTCAGGAAAAATGTCTGAAGAATTCTCGTTGCTTATAAACTGTACTGAAATTAGTGTGGGAATCAAACTATATTTGATCGTTTAAAAAACGAGCAAGAAAATACTGTGCTCTAGGAAAACACGTGCAGTAGGAGAAATATATTTCGATTTCATTAGCCCGATGAAATCGGTATTTTCCCTCCGATTTCATTTCTAATTTTCTCAGGAAAAATGTCTGAAGAATTCTCGTTGCTTTGGGTCGACAAACAAAAATCCTCTCTCCATCTCCTTCAATAAGGAATGATGTTTCCTTCCGACGCAGCTGTTTAAGGGCGTTTGGGTAAACAATATTTTTCCAAATGAATATGCAAATGAACATCTTTAATCAAGAAAGGAGCCATTACAGTTTATTAGGGAAATAACACGCCTTTAAGTGAAGTAGCATAAATGTTTGCCTGATTCTATAAAGCATTTCCTCGTAACAGTTCCCTTAGAAGGTATTTCAGCCTCTCTGCGTTTTCACTTAACATTAAAAAAAAGGGAGGGGACTAAGGGCTCTGGGCAAAAAAGGCAAACACCTTCCCCAGCAGAACCCTTTGGCAAACCGGGAGCGAAGAGTGCAGAACTTTAAATCCGGATTTATCTCCCTGCGTTCTAATGTCACTGGTGTTTTTGAACCGGAGCGTTTGCAAATCGGTTTGTGTGGCCAGCAGCGAATCCCTTGAACTAATCTCTCTCCCTTCATATACATGCGGCTCTGGGCAAAAAAGGCAAACACCTTCCCCAGCAGAACCCTTTGGCAAACCGGGAGCGAAGAGTGCAGAACTTTAAATCCGGATTTATCTCCCTGCGTTCTAATGTCACTGGTGTTTTTGAACCGGAGCGTTTGCAAATCGGTTTGTGTGGCCAGCAGCGAATCCCTTGAACTAATCTCTCTCCCTTCATATACATGCCG